CCTGTAACAGGCCATGAAGACCCATAGGTTTGTGAGACGTTGAGGATCTAGGCAATCGGCTCAAAGATGGCGGTAAGGTTGTAAGCCTTACGCGCCAGCCGCGCTCTACACCCCTCAGGAATATTATTTTGTGTGTAGCATAAGGATGATATGAAATTCGGATTACCAAAGCAGAGAATTCCCGAACATGTTGCATGAACGTAACTTATACAGCAGGTCAGGAACGAGTGAGCAGTCGTCGATTGCAGCGTATCGTGTCTATTCTGTGAGCACTAATAATGTTTTGGTGCGGATATGTGGAGTATACTAAATGAAGGAGATGGTTTACGATTAATTATTTCTGTGTGTTATATGTGGGAGATGGGTTTAAATTTCGGTCTCGACGCACGATTCCTTAGTATGTAGGACTTCGGAGGAATATGGGAGAAAGCAGGGTTAATTAAGGGCGTGAATTTTTCTGTAACATACATTGAGCTGAATTCTTTGCTGGTGTTACAATAACATCATATAGCCTATAATTGATTGTGAAATTTTGAGAGTTTCACGACGGTGATTAAAAAGAGTGCTATATGATGCGATGTGACGCCGCGTGGTCTCAAAGAAGTTTATCGATATTTCAGAGGAACGTACTGCCTCCATCTTCAGGGTTAAAATATGCAAAGCAATCAGATTAAGTAAAGCAGAGTGGTATAAATTTCTTGCTGATTGCATAGCTTCCCGGGAAAGGTGGATGATATGATATGGATTAAAGCAAAGGTAAAGATAAAATTGTCCCACTGCTTAATTAAGCACAACACCATAAAGACGTATTGAGGAGTGGAGGTTTAACTTCACGCATGTTAACCTCGATACTACACGGAGGTGAGCGGTCAGCTTCACGCTCCAGCCGCTTTACCTCCCGGGGAAGAGCCATTGATACATACTGAATGTGCAGCGCATGGACTGATTTAAGGGAGAGTCTGGACACTGCGAGGAAGATAAGAAACACGATTCCTCGGTAAACCGCAGCCTAGCCTCCATACCGACTGGGCTATGCCGGATGTGGTATGGTGTTCTGAAAACTGTACCTTATTATGACAAAATTAACATTGGAGATATAGTGCTTACCACCACGTGTTCTTTCTTATTGCAGGAGCCTTCCTGATCCCTTACTGCATCATGTTAGTGTTCGGCGGGTTGCCGCTCTTCTACATGGAATTGGCACTGGGGCAGTTCCATCGGTGCGGCTGTCTGACCATCTGGAAACGCATATGTCCAGCGCTGAAAGGTGAGTTGATTCCAAGGTCAGTCGTCATCAGTTACTGGACGTCACTCTGGAGGCAGTCTGCCCCAGTTTCATTCTGTATCTGTAAAGNCATATGTCCAGCGCTGAAAGGTGAGTTGATTCCAAGGTCAGTCGTCGTCAGTTACTGGAGGCAGTCTGTCCGAGTTTCATTCTTTATAACCGTTTCACCCAGACTCTTCTTCTTCCATCTCAGGAGGAACAGTCAATCTTCCAGTTAATATAAGAACTAAACAAATATTTCTCTTGGGACAACAGGATGTACTGTCTCGCGCAATGCTTCTGCGTATACTGCGCTCGTAGATCAGCGACCTCTTGGATGAAAGTACTGCCGCCATTTTGATGGTCGAAGAAAAAGTTAAACGAGCAATCAAAGAAACAAGCAATGATTTGCAAACGTCGGTAAACTTCTAGCAGAATATATGACGTCACAACTTACAACTTCAGAATCAATATATCCTTTCACTGTTTATTTATAAGTGATGTACATGTTCTGGTAAATGTCATTAATTGGAAATTCTGAGTAAGAGCAGGCGAGGATGTGTAGTTCCCTGCCCGTGATTTTATGTAACCACCGATTGCTCTTGATAATAAGAGAATTATTCATGTCTACTGTAACATACTGTAACGGATTTGATCAACGCGTTACCAGGCAACAGCTCTGTAAACACGGTCCAATACGCAACAACAGACGAAGCCGTATTTTGTATAGATCCGACCGACGCGCCAATAGACTGGCTGGATAGCGATCACATGATATGTGTTTACTGTAGGTCCATGTCCGTTCCGCGTGTATATAAGTAAGTGACAGAATTCGTTCAAGCAGTTACGAGATAGTTACGAGTCAGCCGTAAGCTGGAGAAGTGAGTCCAGAAGAATTTTTAGTTCCGAGGTTCCAGATTAACTACATACATACGAAATACATATAAGACTTCATATTGAGTTGAAGTGCTAGTTTCTCTGTTGAGATCCGTTGTCAGGAGACGACTAGTAAAGACGAACAATCATAGGGTATGTGCAACGGTGAATTGGAAATTGTGGACATCAGCGATAGCGCTGTATTTAAGTATGATTAATAGAACTTGTAATCAAGGTACTAATAAATCCAGTAATCTGAACTAGAACCCGTTATTTGCGTCATGCATACCACCCTACACGTGAAAATACGTTCTTTTGCTCTATACTGCTACACGAATCACCCGTTCTAAATAGGTTCCTTTAAGTCTACAAAAGCACAATGTTTGCTATGTTTAACCACAAGCTTTAACATAATAAAACTCCGCATTTTGTATACAAAGTGTATCTGTGTGTTAAGTATGATTCTCACACTAAACAACGATTATTTCCCTAAACAGAATTGTTAGCCTTGTAGCGGAAAAGTAACGCGTTTCCTGTGAGGTACGAACTCAAGGTTTGATATTACCTACAAGAATTAAATAAACCGACTTGTGAAAGTACATTTCTATTATTTCTGGTTTATTTAAAAAAAATATATACAATCACTAAAAAAGAATTTACAGGAAGAACATATGAAGCACAAAAATTCTTCATTCATTCATCAATGGCTCTACAGCCGTTTGTTGGACCCTGGCCGCTTTTTCAGTTTCTTAAACCTACCCACAGTCAGTAGAATTCCATGAACGGGGGCATCAGGCCGTCGGAAGGCCTCTACCTACACACAGGAAAGCATAAACACAGAATAAAAGCATACAGACATACATTCCTCCAGTGGGATTCGAACCCACGACCACAGTGATTAAGCGGGCGAAGACAGTTCATGCTTTAGACGGCGCAGCTACTGTGATCAGCGAAAACCACAGTAGGACGCAAAATGCTGAAGACCTTGGGAGCCATACATTTTTGGATCTTCAGCTTCAGCTAAATGAAAGCGTGAGGACGTTGGTTACGTTCCCTTGGAAGCGAATCGGTGTTTGGTCGGTAAAACATTGTTAGCTGTTGAATATCGAACAAAAATGAAGTTCAACCGACCATTAAAGTCACGACAAAATTAGCATTTCCAGTTTGGGCTATTTTTTTCCTTGGCACTACAGCCCCAGTGGGCCTAGGCCTACCTCCACGAACTTTTCTGTCCACTTCGGTTTTTCTAGATCTTACACATTCGGTAGGACTCCTTGGGCGGGTGATCAGCTCGTCGCAAGGCCTCTACCTGTACACAAACAGAGAAAATCGCACACACACACAAACTAAACATCCATGCCCTGAGTATAATTCGAACCCACGATCCCGGTTTCCAAGCGAGCGAAGACAGTACATGCCTTAGACCGCTCGGCTACCGTGACCAGACTTTTGTCTGAGAAGTAGTGGGTCTGGAACAGGGTCCACTCAGACTTCTAATGATAATTGAGGAGCTATTTCAAGGAATTAGCGGCTCCGGTCTAGAAAACCGAAATTAACGGCCGTGGCCATTCGTTACGCTGACCACACGACACCCTCTATCGGCTAAAGTTTGCACTAACCTCTCCAACAAGCGGCGGTCGCTCAGTCGCTATAGTTCGCTTGCGGACTAAAAACACAGAGTTTGTTTTATTACCACTTTCGAAAGAATCGCCATTTTCAGGGCCCATCTGAAGGGTTCTGCTATTGGAGCTGGAAATTTCATATTCACCGGGCACAGACCTATGACAGACAAAACTAAAACATACGGAATATAAATAACAGCGGTCCAACCGCTCAGGCGTCCAGACGGTACATATGTAAGGAGAGTCGGGATTCCAAGAACATTTTTGCAAACTTGGGGGGGGGGCATCTGAAAATTTGTAGAACCTTTAACATCTCGAGACCAAATTTTACACAATCACAATATTCTCTCTTATATACTAAGTAAATGAGAAGGTAAAATATACTTAACGTCCCCACTCTGTAACCAGTGAAGAGCTGGCGTAGAGATGAAGAACTCCAACTTAAAGACAGATAATGTGATAATGCTCTGCGTGATCGGAGCTATCGCAAGTGTCGGCGGGGGTGATGGTAGAGCATCGAGCAATGGTGGAATGATGATTAGTGAGGGAAAAAACGAAGAAACCGGGAGAAGAATCTGTTCCATTGTCACTTCTTCCATCACAAATCTGACGTGAAGTCACCAGGGTTTGAACGCGAGATTCCGGGGCTATAAGCCAACGCCTTGTCAGTTGACCTATTACTAATAATTCATACGGCAATATTGTGACATGTAGATCCATTGCCAAGTAACAGCTGTGTAAACAGGCGACAGTAAAATAACCGTTGCTAGCGAACAGCTCTGTGGACAAGTTGTTTCCACGGAAAAAGAGAACACGCAATAATGGAAGAGACGTTTCCTGTGCGGTCCGTGTCGAGGTTATATAACGAGGACTATTAGTTCGGTTGAGTTGAGTCCGAGTCTGAGCCTTACGACCGATGATCAGGCGGCCAGTCTGTCTTGGAATGAAGCACCCATCTGGGGCTTAAGACCAGATTTTTATCATTTTCACACAGTTGCGGGTTTGTTAGTGTGGGGCGTGGAGCTTTCAAAAATTGCCGAAAGTTCCACACCCCACACAAACAAAACCCACAACATTCTGAGTAGAGTCAATTGAGTCTCAGTTGTGAGAAATGAGAAGCTGGTAGCTGAGGCCGGGGGACAGTTCGGGAACCCACAGAAAGGGGAACGTCCGCCGTTGAAAGCCGCTACCAAGCAACAGCTAATTAAGACTGAGAAGACTTTATGTGCTATAGTTACAGCGACGTTTGAAGTGTGTAACTCAGTGAGGCTGTCGTAATTATCTGTAGTCACGTTCTGTATGTGTTCAATAAACACGATTAACAATCCAAACCCCGTCTACAGTTACTTATTCACGTGACAATATTTACTAATTTTTGTTGAAGGAACACTACACATATAAAGCCGAATTTAATCAAAATACTCACAATAGACTACATAAATGAACATTTCTGATGATGTAAGCCGATAACGTATTCATTCGTTCATTATTAGAGGGAGTGGGTTTCCCCATGCACTTAGACCAGTTATTGGTCCATTGTGCTTCCCATTTAATTTCTACTGTCCCCATACCCTACCGGTACTGGTGCTTTGCTATCAGCCCCACTTTGCCAGCGAGGTCGGCCCTCTTCTGGCACGTGGTACCTGATGCTTCAGCCCCAGTTTACCAGCGAGGTCGGTCCTCTTCTGGCACGTGGTACCTGATGCTTCCCCCATCTACCAGAGGCATTGGAGACTACTTGGGTGGGAAACTTTTTGCCTAATTTCGCTCAGAGGTCTCCTAGAGACATGAGGATCTTTTATGTGCCGTAAATCTACGACACGGGACACACGGCTTAAAGTCCCTCCTGGAGGACTTGTTCCCTCAATTTTTCCTCCCTTAAATATTCCACGACCTCCGCCCGGTTTGAACCCGCGTCATGAGGTGGGAACGTTACCCCTAGACTACGGAGGCCGCTTCTAAGCCAATAACTTATGTCATCTCGTCACTGTACCAAGTCGCTATATCTGCCATCAACGGAATATTGACGTGGTCTTATGAAAAAGTAATTGTCTAGGTTTTTGCACCAAGCTGGTTCGAATTATGAGGTGCTCTTTTCAACACGAAATATACTTCACTTCGAAACGACTTCTGTGGCGTGATACAGCCCTCGACAAAGAGCTGCGGTGCAACTCCAGATTACCGCCAGACAGATGCAGTCCGGCTGATTAACGCATAAACTGACCACACAACCACAAGAACCTAACNGTTCGAATTATGAGGTGCTCTTTTCAGCACGAAATATACTTCACTTCGAAACGACTTCTGTGGCGTGATACAGCCCTCGACAAAGAGCTGGCCGTGGAACTCCAGATTACCGCCAGGCAGATGCAGTCCGGCTGATTGACGCGTAAATTGACCACACAACCACAAGAACCTAATCTAAATAAGACCGGAAGTGTATGGATAACGCAGTGATTCGATTTGTGTGGGTTAATGGCGTAAGCCCGGTCACGGAAGCCGAGC